TAGGAAGAGAAATTGTGTCAATGAGGTCATGAAATAAACTTGATTAAATAATTAGTTTCTTCTCGACTGCTCTATCTAAATAGTTAAATGTCAAGTTCCTATTTGTCTTGAGGACATGCTATCCGAAGATAGGCACTTGTCTCACAAGAAATGATTTGTTTCCCTCGCATTAATGCACCACAACCCACATAGAATGAAAATATCTTATTAAGTATATCTGAATATCAATTTCTTACTCTAAATTAGGCATAATAAGTTTACTCAGTAGGCCCCGAGACATTCACAAACGCAAAATCTACAGCGATGGGGTCTCCTAATTTATATGAAGTAGCAAATTTGCGGGTTGAAAATTTTGTTCTGTTTTGAATCGCTCCCCTGAAACAAAGATATAACACGCAGGAGATTAGTTTTTATGTAAAAATGAGCACACGAAAAAAAATACCAGCTTCGATTATCAGTAAAGCGCTAAGGATTTAAGAGTTTAACGAGGGTATTGAATCTAAACCCTTTTTACACGCACTAGATCCGCGTTTCCAGTGCTCTCTGGCGCTCTGCGACACCCAACCGCCACAGCATCCTATCCTCGCACAGCCTTTAAGAGAGTTGGCACTCCCTCATTTCACTTAAAATCCCTGTGGCCACCCTTTCACTGGGCGTCCCTAAGCCCTATCCCCTTTTTTTCCGTCAAAATTATTTTTGTTTTTTTTTTTTCATCAGCGGAGTAACGTATAAATCTTCTGTTTCATTCTTCTAGTATAAATAAAGTTTTATTCTGTCCTGTTAATAAATGGACGTGCTGATGCAAAATAAGTCTTTATGCAGTGGATTTTCTACGTATAGGTAAATTTTCGGTCACACAAACCTATTTCGGATCCTTAAGACCGAACAATTCAGTTACCTGCACCACAAATGTTCGGTGTCCGATATGAATCGAAACTATGTATCTTTATTAAACAAATTTTCTCAAAGTATATGGTCTTTTTTGTATCAAATTATCCACATACTTCCCAAAAAATCATGCATAACACCCGCGCCTAATTATAATTCCATTGGTGAGTGCAGACTAAACGGTCGATTCGGAAATAAAATACATTCAATTGTGAAGTCAAAGGTTCATTACTTGATCCGTTCCGAGAAAATCCAGAAAAAACATACATCATAACAATGCAATGAGACATTCAAATGACCTCGGCCGTTGTGGTCTAACTCCATACGGCAAGTTTTTTTTTTTTTTTTTTTTTTTTTTTTTTTTTTTTTCTATAACATAAAGTAATAATTCAATTGCAAGACTCGTATTTCTTTGTTTCGACGCCTTTTTTGCTTTTTGAATTGATTGAGTATTTCAGATAACACAACAAGTATTACAGACTTTCAAATTTACTTCCTTATGACAAAGAAATCCAATTTAAGAACTCACTCTGATTGTAAATAATTAGTTGCGGTAAAGTTGATAGGAAATTTCTCGGGTTGTTCAAAAACTGTTACTATGTACCTATGCAGATCTGAAAAAGAAAAGGTATGATTTTCATAGCATTTGGGTTCTTTGAAATTTCATGATAAAATCAGAGTGGACAAAAAAATAAATAAAATAAAATAAAGTAAAATACTTTCCATCATACATCTTTATGTGATGGTTCAGTGATAATAGATATGAGTCAATGGGAATCGCAAAAATCGATAGCCTAAAATGCGTTGGCACTAAATTACATGCCTCGCTAGGAAACAAAGTTATGAAGCTCTGATTAAATGTTGCATGGTCTCCTTTTAAAAAAAGAGGGAATTAAAATTTTTTGTTTACCTCGATCCTGCTTTAAAGAATCTTGCCAACCAACATAATCGACACATTCTTTTCCAGCCATAGCCTCATCTCCACCAATATTACCGATTATCCATATCAAAAACTCGCGCCCGCTTGGAGTTTTCTTTGTGGGGTAGTCAAGATCTATAAAAAAAGCACATTCTTAACTACATTTACACACTTTCTAGGTTCATTCTCCTGATTGCAAGTGTAATTTTACACCCAAGAATCATATTTGAGAATTGCGTCGTCGAGAAAACAGCTACATCGGGAGCAATAACTTTCAAATTCTACATCCAAATGCACTTACACACAAAACCCTTCAAACTACCTTACTAAGAATTGCTTTCTTCTCATGCGTTTTTTTCTTCCTTTTTTTTCTCGCTGACACAAATCCGGATCTGAAATTGGTACTGTCTAATAGCTTAGTTTAGGTACATTCTCGATTAATGTATTAAAGTGTTCCCAAAACCTATGGGAATCTGAATGCCCCGATGTATTGATTATTATTCTGCCATGCTAAGAAAAAACCCCGTATGAGCCTTCAGACGTTGCCAAATTTCCTTTGATAAATCACTAATTTTCAAGAAACTTTGTGAATATTTTTCTTCCAATTTCTCAGGTAATTATGTTTGTAATTTAATCTAAGAAGTCTGGAAATTTCAAGGAAAACTATTGATAATTTTCCTCAACATTTTTGGCAACTTTCGAATGTTCATGCGGCGTTCTTCCTTAGCATAGCACGACAGCACGTCTGAATGAGATTAGTTTTAGTAAGCAAGCTGTGCGTAGTACATTCAACTGCGGTATAAACTTATTATCTTAAGTTCCCCCAAAAAATGGAAAACGTTAACTATAAAGCAAAACAAAACAAGACCCTCTCTCCATTGAATAGCTTAAGCGATTGTGCATCGGTGAAATGTAATACTAAGTGCTAACAAGAGAAAGGCAGCTCGCAACTAAATTTCTGAAGTTGCGACTGTCCTAAAATATAAAATCTATTTTTGCCTATTTGATCTAATGACAACGAATTACACGCATTTAGAACCTGCTAAATCTAGGGCGGGAAAAAGTCCTAGCTTCTCTAACGGAAAAAATGTAAGTTTTCTTTATTGATCTGGACATAAGACATTAGATTAAACAAAACAATTTCAAAAGTCAAAAAAGTTCTATTTTCAAGAATTAATAGAGACTACAGTGAAAAATTAAAACAGAGAGAGTGGACGTCTCTTGACTGGTCTTTATACATAGTTCGTGATGTGACCACACACAATCTTGTCGATCTTGTTGAATTTATGGTCACTCCAAATTTCATCTTTAAAATATCAAAGTAACCGTCGGAAAATCAACAAGAGGTTTCAGAACATTTTGTCAACGATTTTTTGTCCACGTACCATTTTTGTCCAGTAGTTTACGCGCACGCAAAATAAGCAACAGTGACTTGGTCCAAGCGTTATATTTTAGTCGATATGTAAAATTATATCAACAATATGGAAATGAGAAATTGAGAGAGAAGGAGGTGTTGTTATGGTTGCTCATTTTCTGATTGAAATGTTATTACTTTCTCCTTTTGAATCATTTTTTAAATTGTCATTGGTGAATATATGGTTTTATTTCTATCCTTGATATATTCGATGTACAATATACCTTATATATGTATATGTACTTTTTTATTTTTTTAATTTTTTCTTTACGAAATTATTACTTCATTTTGAAAACATTTTTTTAAAACGTGACAAATATTTGTAAAATATTTTCCAAGCGACATTAATCTCAACTAGGGGGCTGCGCCCCCTGGCCGCTCCGCGGTCCAACCCCTCAGACGCGCTTCGCGCCTCTAATAAGCAGATATCGTGAGATCGTTAAAATATCATTAAGAGTTAGGGAAACCCCGGTTTCGAGACGGCGGGAAGCATGTGATCGTGCGCGGCGTGAGGGGAGCGGGGAGTGGATAAGAAACCGGTTTGTGACATGATTAGCATTACACCCTCAGCGTGACACGGCACCATTATGATTTTATACTATAGAGTAAGATGAGCCGCAGCTGTGCCGATAGAAACTGCAAAAATGAATAAAAGAGGGAAAAAACCAAGAAGCACGCAATCTTTAGTTTTAACTCATTTGTACATCGATCTTTTAGAGTCAAATACGTCAAATTTTGAGCGTTTGGTTGCGCGTACACCTCGCTGCAGCACAATAAAAGCACAAAATATAAAAGAAAAAATTAAAGTGCTTTGGAAATCAATAAAGTTGACACGGAACCACCAATGTTTGAAAACACACTTTATATTATTATTCTCCGTTGATAAATTGATACATATTTTTTCCCATCAATTTAAATGAGAATAATCAATGCAGAGTGTGCAAACATTTCAAAATCATGAGTTAAAAAACGCTGACTATGCGAGTATAAATATTAAAGCCTAACAGAGCGGCGTGCTGCCAGCGCAAGAGGCTCACTGGCGCCTACAAACCTAAGTGGATACTTCACGCATTGCACAATGCTTGAAGTATCCACTTAGGTTTGTAGGCGCCTATGCGCGTTTCGCGCTGGCTGCCCGCCCGCCGTGCGGCGGCGCCTGAAGCAACTATTTCACAACAGAGGTGTTGCACAGTATTATACAGAATTGAACATTCTCTCAATGAAGGAACTATATTTGTTAAACAAGTTTTTCAACAACTTTGCACGAAATGATAATAAAAATTAAATGAAAATTTACTTTAGCTAGAATCTTTGTATTCGCTTGCATAAAATACAAGAATGTCTAATGTTTGTACCGTGTAATTTTTTACGAACATTTGAATCTCAGCCTCATCTCGTGCACTATAATATGCCTACGAGGTTCGGTCGAGATGTGAATTTTCTTTGAGCGGAATGTATGGTATTCCGCCTGCATCTTACCCACCATGCAAAAGTAAATAATTTTTCAATTGTAAGTTTACCTGTCATTACGAATGTGTATAATTTGTTGGGATCATGAGGCCATTGAAACCACGTTGGAAAATACTTGACATGCAACGGGGCCAGAGTCTTCCCAAATCCCATCGGCAAATCGTACCACATGATCTAAAAGACGAATTGGAAAGAATGATTATTAATCGCCTTATCTCTATAGATATCACTGGTCAACAATAAAACTTTGCGTTGATATGAAACATGAAGGTAAGTATCTTTTTCCGGTAGACTTTTAAGGTTCATCCCAAAAATGACCTACATTTGCCCTGATCAGCTCGAAAAAAACCAAAATTTCTACTAAAAAAATGTGGCTGCTCCAGGGAAAACTCAACATTTTAACGATTTGGAGCATAAAATTAAGGTAATGTAGAGCCATTTTGGATTCAGCAACCTTCATTAGAACAGGTATATCCAGAGCGTGCCTACGAATATTCATTGCGATAGCGAAGTTTTTCTGATTAGATGGCTTTGTCTGCCTATCAACCTCCAGAAGTAAGACTTGTCCGACCGATTACATTGTGTCTCACAGGCTGGATGGACTGTCATGAGATATTCATGTTAAATGAGTCCTTTCATCAACAACTTCACTAATTATTATTAATGTTATAATTGTCGCTCGATAGAGTTGCAGGATGAAGAGAATGTGAACTACATGAGGCGAGAATCTAAAAGACGATTAAAATTGACGTTTACTAAAGATGAGCGGAAATCAGAGGGCGTGCTCGTGACAAATGAGTCCTTAGGAAAATTGGAGTTGAGAATTGTATCATAACAAAACCACGCAATTGGTTTTGTATGGAAATGTGCGAGGGATAACGGATGATCGCTGGCTTAAAAAAATCATATGAAAAGCAAGGATCCTTTTGCCGCTAAAAAGTATTTTTCTTGACTGAAAAATGTTGCTGCTTATTTTAAGCTATGCTTTGTTGCTTAATCTGAGCATTCTTTTTCTTGTTTTCAGAAACATTCAGCTTAAATTAAGATAAGAAAAAAAATCAATTTTTTGGCGACATAAGAATCATCAGTCATCAGGCTTGGGCCGATCACCTCATTTTTGGCGATCAGTGATCCGTCAATACTCACGTTAGCATTATGTCTGGGAGCTTTGTCTAGCGCATCAGGAATAATCTGCGTTTTTGTCAATGTCTCTTTGATTAACGCGGCAGACACTGTAGCATATGTAGGACCGGGTGTAAACTTTATATCCTCAACCTCATCAGTCATAACGCCTGAACAACGTATTGCATTCAGCACTCCTAAGAACGTATAAAGTTTAACACTCAGCATTTTTGTTTGTTTGTTTAACTGTAAGTAATGCACGACCACTGTTTATCAGACAATTTTCAACAACCAAATCTTTATTTTCGAAAAAATTATAATAATTTGTTTTGACAATCACAGCAAACAGTTTAAGCACTTATATTAAACAATTAATTGACTCGCAGCTTTGTGCATATTATTTTAGAGTAATTAATTAAAAGTGCAATTGATTTAAATATCGGCATCACCTAACACTCGTTTTCATGCGGCACCACACTTATTACAAGCTTCCAAAGTTGCTTTTATTTGAAACATGGAATGAGAAATGGCTTTGTAATCTTATCTCATCTATTGCACACATAATGAAAATTAACACCAGTAACGCGGCCCTTGCAAAACGACATTGCGGCACACCCTGTAAACAAGAAGTCTCAAATTTTCCAAGTAATTTTGTAATAAAAAAAAAAAAAAAAAAAAAAAAAAAATGAACAACGGTTAAAAAATCTTGAGCTCAATCAACCAAACAATCAGCTTTAATTAAGATAAAAAAAAAAAAAACATTTTTTTGGCGACAAATTTAAGAATCATCAGGCTTGGGCCAATCACCGGTGATCAGTGATCCGTCAATACTCACGTTAGCATTATGCTCGGGAGCTTTTTCTAGCGCATCAGGAATAATCTGCGTTTTTGTCAATGTCTCTTTGATTATCGCAGCAGACACCGTAGCATATGTAGGACCGGGTGTAAACTTTATATCATCAACCTCATCAGTCATAACGCCTGAACAACTTTTTTTTTCTTTTTTTTTAAATTTTTCAACCTATTGTTTTATTTTGATAATTACATGGTGGAATTAAGTTGGAGAGAACTTAACCCGAAGGCCTCTTTTACATTCTAATATGAGCCTATATTGATTTATTACTTACATTTATATAGTGTGTTTCCCCCCTGTAAATTTTTTCCCATAAAAATATCTTAAATCTAATTTTTGGAGTGCTGGAGGTCCTCAATCTCCATTTGTCTATTTAAGTGTGTTTGTCGACCTCCGAATTGCGTAGTTGAGGCGTGTCGTCGAGGGAAGAAGGGGGTTGGTGGTTGCTGTCATCTTGGTCCAAGTTTAGTGCAAGTTGTTTGCATTGTAGAAATTCTTTAATAAATTTGTGTATAATTTTCCAGGGGTGCTTTTTTTGGATCATTAGTGTAATGGTGTTGTCCAGGGTAAGTTGGGCATTTATTTGTGGTTCCAGATTTTGTCTTTGTTTGTAATTTTTTTTCCATTTATAGAACGTGTGTTCTGGTGTATCCCTTTCATTTGGGCAAAACGGGCAGTTTGGAATCTGTTTTATCTTGAACCTGTGTAAGCAGTCGGCAAAAGCTCCTGACCGGACAAAAACTGAGTGAGGTAGTAATCTGTGTCTCCGTGGTTTCTATTGATCCATTCGTGTAGTACTGAGATCAGTCTTTTGATCCATTTATTAGGGGAGGAATCCCATTCTATAGTCCATCGAGCCATTCTGAACAACGTATTGCATTCAGCACTCCTAAGAACGCGTAAAGTTTAACACCAGCATTTTTTTGTTTTTTGTTTGTTTGTTTGTTTAACTGTAAGTAATACACGACCGATGTTTACCAGACAATTTTCAACAACCGAATCATTATTTTCGGCAAAATTATAATAATATGTATTGGCTATCACAACAAACAGTTTAAATACTTATATTAAACAATTAAGTGACTCACAGCTTTGANCGGGACACCGGCCGCTGGGTCCAGTACTAGCTGGCGCACAGCGCGTTAACGCCGGGATCACCAGTGTCCAGAGCAACCGGGTCACAGGGCCGTAGTTTTTTTTTTGAGTGCACTTCATCAGGATATACGCATTTTTGCAATTAGTGTTTTAAACTTGTTGGTGGATTTCGATCATTTAAAGACTGAAAAAATGGTTTCACACTTAAAATTCATTATCAGATAATATTTAGTTGGTCATTGCGATGCTCCATCCATCCATACTTTATGCTTGCCTAATAGACCAGTGGACAAAGTAACTTTTCTTCAAATTCGATTATTCACAGTTAATCAACGAAAGCTCATTTTATCCGTGCAAAACTTTTTAAATTCATAACCGCTTTTGTGTAAGGTGCGATCTTGTAAACGGCGACTCTTTCAGTTTCGCTTCAGAATACGATGACCGAACCAATAGACATAAAATACACAATTTGATCCTGCCGCTTGCGCACTCTTCATTACGGGGTTCGATACGGGGTAGGATCTCAGCAGAGTCATCCAAAAGGCCCAACCCTCCGGGGGCCCCCTGAACACCACGGAACCAAAGCCGTGGGCCAGCCCCCTGAACACTAAGGAGCCAAAACCGGGGGCCAGCCCCCTGAACACTACGGAGCCAAAGCCGGGGGCCAGCCCCCTGAACACTAAGGAGCCAAAGCCGGGGGCCAGCCCCCTGAACACTGCGGAGCCAAAGCCGGGGGCCAGCCCCCTGAACACTAAGGAGCCAAAGCCGGGGGCCAGCCCCCTGAACACTACGGAGCCAAAGCCGGGGGCCAGCCCCCTGAACACTACGGAGCCAAAGCCGGAGGCCAGCCCCCTGAACACTGCGGAGCCAAAGCCGGGGGCCAGCCCCCTGAACACTACGGAGCCAAAGCCGGGGGCCAGCCCCCTGAACACTGCGGAGCCAAAGCCGGGCGCCAGCCCCCTGAACAATACGGAGCATAACCCAGGGGCCAGCCCCCTGAACACTAAGGAGCCAAAGCCGGGGGCCAGCCCCCTGAACACTACGGAGCCAAAGCCGGAGGCCAGCCCCCTGAACACTGCGGAGCCAAAGCCGGGGGCCAGCCCCCTGAACACTACGGAGCCAAAGCCGGGGGCCAGCCCCCTGAACACTACGGAGCCAAAGCCGAGGGCCAGCCCCCTGAACCCTAATGCGCCCGCCGGATTGAAGGCGCGTCAAACTGCGGAGATGTATTGACCGCCCTGCCAACTCTGACGCGTGGGTCAAACGTTAAAATCGCTCCGACGCTTAGACGATGCGTCATTATTTATGACTCTCACCTAATTTCCAACATGAATAACAAAAATAACTATCCTAATTACTAAGATTTAAAGTCAGGGACCGTCGTTTATTTTCGGTAAAAAGAAAAAAGGAAAATAGGACAAAATATAATATCGCGACGAAATTTCCCATGACTTCAATTAAAATCGTTCATACTATTATTTAAATTTTTCAGAGAATCTGTTCGTACTTTTAAAAAATATTGATTGAAATCGAAGCATTATCTGTGAATTGCAACGTTGCAATCGAGGGAAATAAGCTCCTTTTCGCGTGGAACCATCGATATTTCAGTTCGTTTATGGCAGGCGTGACATACAACTATTTGACCACGGGTGTAAGCTTGTTGCAGATTCGCCGGATTGAAGGCGCGTCAAACTGCGGAGACGTCTTGACCGCCCTGCCAACTCTGAAGGGTGGGACGAACGCTAAAATCGCTGCTACACCAAGACGATGCGTCATTTTTTATGACTCCCTTCTCATTTTCACCATAATAAACAAAAACAACTATCCAAATAACGAAGATTTTGAAATAGGGACCGTCGTTTATTATCGGTAAAAAGAAAGAAGGAAACTAGGACTAAATATAATATCGTGACGTAATTTCCCGTGACTTCAATTAAATTCGTTCATAAAATTATCGGACATAAAATCTCAGGACAAATCAGTGGAATTTTCAGATGAAGATGCCCAAGATTATGTGGGTTATTACAACTTCTCAAAGGGACATTTGGCAACATTGAAACGGAGTTACGTTTCTTCGTGCGGGAAACGACAAATTAGGCTTTCACTGTACCGATTATTGAAAATGATAGACATAGCTATAGACAAAGATGACAAAAGGGATATGGATGAATCCTATTGGTGGATTTTGGTGATTGTAAAGGACAAATGAGGTTGGTAATAGACGAAGGTTCGGCAACCCAAGAGAGACTTTTTAGTTATTCCATCATTTTTTCCCTTAGTCTTTAAGAACCACTCATTTCAACCAAAAGGATCTTTCTATACTCCTTATATCTGCTTTGTCTATAGCTATGTCTATAAATTTTAATAATCGGCTTTCAGGAGTGGTTGTGCATGAATATTCGTCTAAAACTGCAAATTTTGATGAGTTCATTTCGACACGATATAACTGGGCAAGGTTCTTGACGATATGCTTTTCATAGTGCATTGGGAATCTAATTGTGCCGATGAGAGCAATACCTTATTTGTTGTATAATTTTCAAGGCCGGATTTGGGAGGTGGCCACATGGGCCGCGGCCCATGGGGGCAAATTTATGGGGCGGCAAATGTTGTACACTGGAAAAAAAAACACATTGGATCTAGAGTCCAGACTCTTAAAAAACATCGACAAGAAAAATACTCTTGATTCAGTCGGATTTTTGGTTAGATCAAGGACGAAGCCTCTTAATTTGAGTGTATTTCCTTTTGATTTAAGCAAAAATCTGATTGAATCATGAGTATTATTTCTTGTCAATGTTTTCAAAAATCTAGACTGTAGATCCAAAGCGTTTTTTTTTTTTCTTCTTTTTTTTTTTTTTTATTTCGGTGTAATTTTTTCAAATGCAGGTATCAAGAAAAAAACCTGATTTAGAAAAAAAATACAAACGAGAAAAGGCGAAAAAATCTCTCATTTCCTGAGAGTTAAATTGTAGTAATTTCTAATTTGTTCATCCTTCGGCGATATAAGTGACAGCGCCTTTCATTAGTCTAGTTTAGAGAGAAACCAAACACGCAATTTTGCCTGGAGAGGCGCGGCGGCGCAGACAGCAGTGATGATGAGGACGTGAGACGGAAAGGAGAAGCCCTCGGCGCGCAGGCAACACATATTAGGGCCTACGAGACTCCGTGGATACTTAACGCATTGCGTCAAAAACAGTGCGGTCAGCATCGGCGGTCGGCGTGAAACGCATAGCGCCTACAAGACTGTAGGGATACTTTACGCATTGCGCCAAACACAGTGCGGTTGGCGCGGTGACGGAAATTAAAATCATTAAACCACATTCATGTTTATTCTTTCATAATTTGATCGTTCATTTCTTATGAATGAAAGGCCTTGTCCACTCAGAGATAGGTTTACGGGATTTAATTTTCGTGCAAAGTTCCGTGAACTTTTGCTATTGTTGACAGGTCTCTCGCAAAAAATGTGTCCAACACGAGTAAACGCGTCTTACCCCTCCTCCTCCGGCACGTTCACTTGATGGTTTGTACCGATGTTTCAAAACGAACAAGAAGGGGCGGCAACTATAGTTGCCGCCCCTTCTTCTTTCTTATTCTTGAAAAACTGTTGTCTCACGAGAAAGTATTTTAAGAATTGAGTTACTTGCCCAATATGATGAGAGATGATGATAGAGACATTTGAAATGTCCCAAGAAAGCTTTTGCTGAGTCATAATCAGCAAACTGTGCCCCTAAAAAACGTACACACGTACAAAAAATGTAATGAAAATGCAATGATAGAATAGGAGGTCAAAATCCTAAATTTATTATAGGAACAAGTCAATTACCAAAACTACCGATAAATGGATTACATTTTGCATTGAGGAACCACTATTTCTGGCCCATTTTAGAAACAACATACATGCCATTGTTTTCCCTATGGAGGTATGTGCTTATATGGGAGAGCCAGAGATAGTGGTTCCTTATTGCAAAATGTAATCCAAATAAGGGTATAGCTATGAAAAAAAGCATGACTATTGCATGAGAAATCACTGCATCTGAAAATCTGAAAACGATCATTTATTATACAGATAAAGTATTCTAAAAGAAGTGCCAGTTAATCTTCTTCAAGTAACAAAATGTCAATATCTTTATGATTTGTTAAAAAAGCTCAAACTTTCATATATTTTTATAGGAATGTCACAATACCGCTTAAGTGTGTTTCAGTACTTAAAGTGTTTCTACCATGCAGCGCAGAGGTGGAACAATAGACTATTTTCCTCAAGAATGTTTGATCCAGAGGCGCATATGCAACAATAGTTCAAGGGGTCTTTATTTTCTCCCTCGTTTTCCATTTCTTTGGCCATTCTTGTGACCAATGGAAGAATCACTGTATTCACTGTTGAGATCGATCTGGCTCGTAAAACACTCGATGCACATGGAAGATACAAAGAACTTCGCAATCGGAGCTCCCAAGCAATATTAAACCTGAAAATCTTGTTGTGGTTTAAATATAGTTTTCCTGTAAATTACGGGATGTGTTTCAACCACTCACGGTGCTTTCAAGATGAAAACGAGCTTGACAAAATCACAGCAAGGCAAACCAGAAATGTGGCTATTTTCAGCCATACAAATTATGTTTAAATGTTGTTCAATATTTTTTATTTTTTGAAATTTTGTGAGAGCCGAAAATTTTGTATTGAAATTTTGAATAATTTACGGAGAAGTCTCTTTTTAAGAATAAACGCCTCAAGGGCTGAAAGGCGTAACATGTGTACATATGGGTCAGGGATGGAATAGACCCAGATTATTAGGCAGCTCACGCTTTTATAGACTTGATGACTTCGCGGTAGGTCTGACTTCAAGTCTATACGCGATTGGCTGGCTATAATCAGTGGAACTGTCAGTTACAAGTCTAGTCATTAATTTTATAGGTGATGGCTGGATGATAGGATTAAAAAGACGAAAAGTGAGCAGAATCCAGCCATCCCTATTCAGAAGTATGAAAGTAAATAAAAATTTGGAGTTT